CAACGATACAGGAAATGATAAGAGGGGCCTAACAAAAGAACTTACGGCGGAGGTATGCTGTCGTATCCCCGTCCAGGAAGGGGCTGGTGCGGGGGCATGGGGTACCCTTGCATTGGCATTGGCGGTAGGCCCATGCCGTTGGTTGCTGGGCCAAAGTTGCCAGGAGGGCCGAGGTTTGGGTTCGCTCTGGGGTCTGGAGGCATATTGTTGTTGTGGTGCATCGGTGGTCCATTCTGCATCGGAAACGGAGGTGGGGGTGGAGGGGGCCTACCTTGCTGGCTCTGCATTCCGTTGTTGAACTGACCGCCTCCCAACGACGCCAGGTCTGCCAGGGCTGCTTCTACATTAGCAATGTTGTTGTTGTTGTTTTGGCAGTTGTTGTTGACATTGTTGTTGTTGTTGCCATTCTTGTTGCGCTTCTTCTTTTTCTTCTTATTTCTGCCATTTCCATTGTTGTTCCTGTTGTTGTTGTTGTTCTGATTATTATTGTTGGCGCTGTTGTTGCACCTGTTGTTGTTCTGATTGTTGTTGTTGTTGTTGTTGTTGTTGTTGTTCTGATTATTATTGTTGTTGTTCTGATTATTATTGTTGTTGGCGCTGTTGTTTCGCCTGGGGTCATTGTTGTTGTTCTGACTATTATTATTGTTGGTGTTTCGCCTCGGGTCATTGTTGTTGTTCTGATTATTATTGCTGTTGTTGTTGCTGTTGCTTCGCCTCGGGTCGGATGGCTTGCCGGGAGGAGCGAGTGTTGCGAGATCGGCCAACGCAGCGACCACATTGTTTCCATTCGTTGCATTCGGATCGCTCATGTTAGGCCGATCTGTGCCCTCGAGTTGCCAATCTTGAGCTTTGCCAAAAACTGGCAGCATGTTCTTGTTTCCCTGTTGGTGAATGGGTACTCGAAGCACGGCGCGGTTTTCTCGAGCGTGCTGCACAAGATCGTTCCAGTAGGGATTGATGACGATAGATTTGCACCGAGCAATGACAAACAGGAAATGCTTTGCCCGCGTCAAAGCGACGTTCATCCTTCGCACATCGCTCAAGAAACCAATTCCACGACTTCCCGCTGCTCGCACTGCCGAAAAGATGACTACATTCGCCTCTCTCCCTTGATATGCATCAACAGAATGGATTTCCACAAAGTTTTCATATCTTGGTCCGAGAGCATTTTCAAAGAATCGTTTGAGCATTCGGGTCTGCTGAGAGTACGGTGTGATGATTGCAACTTTTGTTTTTTGGACCAAGCCTCCGCTCAATTCGTTGAGCGATTGGTAGAGGTGAACCGCCAGGTGGGCCTCGGAAGAGTTCGCCAGACTCGTACCACCTCGTTCCTCCTGCGAGTCCAAATCCAGAACTGTGAACGGTTGCACCAGCGGCAATTGATGTGATAGAGTCTCTCGTAGAGGATTTCCAAAGTCCGGTTTTGTCACGTTCGGACCATCGCGCAGATTACCGCCGTAAAAGATGTGTCGAGGAAAGTGACTGATTTGGGGATGCATCCGATACTGTTCATCGAGCATGTAGACTGGTTGTCGTGCTTCTTCCAACCGCTGGAACAAGCTTCGGTCGTACTTGGTTGTCTTCCCGCTGACATTGAAGATAGTGGCTGGTAGCTGTTGAGGATCACCCACCAACACGCAGTGTCGACTGCCCAATTGAAACGCAGCCAAGGTCGCTGGCTCAACACTTTGGGCTGCCTCATCGACAACGACAACCTCGAACTTGTCAACTCCCTCCAGTGTTCGACTTCCAGCCGTACCGAGAGTTGTCATGATCATATGAACACTATTGAGCACATGCAGCTCCAACGTTGATCGGACTTCCATATGGTTGGCACCTCTGTCGATGGATCCCTTCACAATGGTGCAACGTTCTAGCTGTGTTTTGATGGTAAAGCATTGCTCCACTAGCTTGACAACCGATGCCATAAGAGCCCGGTATTCTGGCATGGCGGTTGCCTTGTACTGATTCTCTCCCGGTTCCGGTGGGGGTGGTACTTCAAAGGTTGTCGCTTTTTCTCGGTGATTGACAAAATAAACTCTGCCTCCACCTTGAGCAAAATCAGCGTCAAAGTTTACTTCATCGACACGAATCTCCCAATCCTTGGACAAGGGCCACGGGCAAGCTCCCTCAATCGCGTGAATCCGCCGCCGGCACTTGGTGATTTCATTGTTCAAATTAACCAATTCGTTCTTGTGTCGCTCAATGGTGGATTCTAGCTTGGTCAAATCTTGGTATTGACTAAAAATGGCATCGACCTTTTGCTCCAGACTGACTGCGCGTCTGATTTCTCCCGATTGGCCCACACCAATACGAATCATGCTGGGATTGTATCGTTTCCCTTGTCCATCCACAAAGCCGTCTTCCATGATTTTGAGAATGACATTGTCGACTGCAGCATTGGAAGGAGCGCATACCAACAGCCTTGGTTTGGATTTCCGAGCCAACTCGAGTGCGAATTGTCGATTTTTCTTTTCCCTGGCAATGAGCCGTACTTGATCGTAGTATTTGTTGTATTGTCGAATGTGCAGTGAATTCAGGACTGCCACCAAAGTGGTTGTTTCTGTAAATGGAGAATGGGCAATAAATGAAAGTTAGACAACAGATGCACCACAATTCATTTCTTTCGCACATATCATGCAACCAACCAACTAACTTACTTCCAGTTCCTGGTGGCCCCTTGATGAGAGTGAATCCTCCTTCTCCGTATTCATGAGCGGACGCAACAATGGCTTTCAGCTGCGATGGATTGAACTTTTTTTCGGCATACGACGTGAATCCTGGTCCCAATGCTTGACTTCCTCCCATTTTTTCGAGCATTTCGGTTTTGCTATTGAGTTTGTGCAATTGCGTCGTGGTGGAATGTGGTTGTTGCTGTTGTGAGTGTGGATCCAAATGTTGTCCGAGTAAGAATCGTTTCAATGGTAACTGATCCATTTTGCACAACGCCGTGAATTCTCGTAATGCCGTGACATTGCTTCCCACTTTGAACAACCACAAATCGGCTTCTTCCCCTCTCTTTCCACCCTGTGTAGGCACGACGGCCCATTTTCGTTTGCTGACTTCGACAATCAAATCATGTGGTGTTTTGCGACTGCATTTGGTATGTCCCACGACGACGCCCCACTTTTTGAATGGATTATCGGACAATGCTTCGTCTGGATTGGGTTTGTATTTTCCATTCAACACACCAATTACCAAATCCTTATGGGACATGGGAACCAGAAGGACAATATCATTGGTGACAAAGGACAAGTCGCCACCACCACCACCACCACCACCACTCCCCCGTTGTTGCGCAGAGAGTTTGAGACAGACGGAATCTTCCGGTTCCAATCTCATGTTATTGTGCGCGTAAGGGTCATTGCGAGGATGAATCATGGACGGTCCGCGTTGTCGCCCGACGGGTCCTCGATTGTCCGTCATGACGGCCGTCACTTGTGCTCCCGATCGTTGGACGCGTCCCGATCCCAAATCATTGAGCCATTCACTGAGCACTTGTGCTCGTGTTTCGGCCAAACAGAGTGGTGCCCATGCCGCGACATAGTGACGGGCATTGAGAAATATATTGGGGATTGTTTTGGTAGTATTGACAGGTTCGTCTGATGCTTCTGATTTGTCTGCTTCCACAACTTTTTATTGGGTTGTTTTTGTTGTTCCAATTGCTGATATACTTGATTGACAAAATCCCATTCTCGCAAATGTTTCCAAAAGTCATCGGCTTCGATATTGGCAATGTGGTGTTGGTAATGTCATCTCCCGTACGACGACGCGGACTTGGCGGATGTAACCAGCGAGGAAAAGGCACTCGGCCCCTTGTTGGCTTTCTTGGTCAATTTGGGCAGTGATGCCACGGACGCGGCCGATTCAGTAGTCCCCGTCGTGGTGGCCGACGAAGTGGCACCCATGAGTGTTTTGCGGCCTTTGGATGAGGAAGTAGTAGTGTCATTATTGGAAGTACTAGTACTGCTCTGACGCGCTCGTGCCGCTGCCAACACGGCCGACGCAGTGGCTGGCTTTTTGAGTAATGGACCACTAATACTAGTGGTTCCTCGGTTCGTGCTGGGTCTCTTCAATGTGGCTGGTTTGTGAGACGATGGACGCTTCATTGGAGCAGCAGCCGGTTTGGGAGGAGGTGGAGGAGCGTTTTTCTTGATTTTTGCCGCTTTTGCCTTGGCTTCCGCAACCTTTTGCTCTTGTTCTTGCTTGAGTTTCTTTTGCTTCATGGCTGCTGCCAGTCGCCGCTGCCGTTCCAGCACTTCTTGTGCTTTACTAGGAGGCATTTTTGACAACTGTATTGACCGAGATGAATGAATGAATCGATAGAAGGACTTGTGTGTGTGCCAATGAAGGAAGCAACGCTTCTGCTTGTTTTGGGCTTTCCTGGTCTCTCTTTTCCTTCGCCTGATACTGTACTGTATAGCACGTCTGGTAACTGTAGTTGTTGTGGCTGCCGATTGATGTGATGGCTTCAACCTCTCTCGCACACACACGCTGATCGAGTGACGAGGAGTACTAGGTACGAGAGTGCGAGGGCGTGGAAGTGTCAACAGTTTTGTGAGCGCGCTGCCGGTGCATTCATGAATTCAGCCACCGCCGCCATTGGCATGACTGATGGATTTCCACTCCCGCCATTCAAATCGTGGCGTGGAAACTTCGCCAAGGTCGTCAGCCGTGACCGAAACTCCACCAACTGTAAGTTGAATGCTGATGAGGGCGGGTCTCTGCAGATCTGAGGAAGCCAAAGTTGTTACATCATGGAGATGGAATCAATTGCAAGCAAGAACACTTTGAAAAATACCAACTAGCTAGCTGGCTAATGGTAGGTAGGTACGATGGAAGCGTCAGCGAGAGTGTTGAGAAAGACACGACTCTACAGCTATCTTTTCCTCGATCATGTTCACTATCAAGCGGCATCATAATGACAGACAGACAAACAAAATCATAAACGTAATTGAGCAGTATGCATGTACAATCCAGTTCAAACAGCAACGGATCCACGGAACAACATCATTGTGGCTGTTCTCGCAAAATGCATCGAACGGATTGCCGCAAGCTGCGAGCTACTCCGGGCAGCCAACAAAGAGATGCGACCAGGATCAAACGTCCACCAGGAAAGATTACCAAGCCAGCAATTGCGTGAAAGGATCCGGTCATCCACTGGCAAGCTTGACCCTATCGGTGCATGCAGCGTCGATGGCCAAAGAGCAACTAGGAGGCAGATGAACTTCGTACGGTACCAGAAGTATTGGTCACAATCGACACTGTTGCCGTTGCTGGGCTTGTTTTTTCCCTTCTTGCCAATTCCACCTTGGCATCTTTCGGAACTCCGTGATCCACACATGCCATAAAAGGCGAGAAGAAGAGCCGCTTAATCCTGAAGTGAATACGTACGATCCAATGTGGAAACAAACCCCCTTGCTACGTGTTCTTGCCAACTTTTCAAACAAAATAAAGAGGTCAATGCCTGGGTGTTGTTGGGCACAGCGAAATATGTGGGAAAAAGCATTGTCCGCTTAGGTGTTGCCTAGTCCAGGCTCCTATAATGCCCGTTACAATAGTGATGCTCAAAGTGACAGTGTTCTACTCCCTACTGTACACTTATAGTCTGCCAAGCCACTCCATGCGTTCTCCTCTCCCATAGCAATCATCGCTGGCTTGGAAATTACCTATAATTCTAAAACGGAAATCTTTGTCCTTGCACCACCGAAGTTTGGAGAAGACTCCTGCAATATCATACTCAGCTCTGCCTCGCCCTGTAGCCGAATGAGGTTTCATACTGTCCAACCCATTTCTTCGTAGTTCCGTCTCAATTCTTTTATGAGAGCCCACATAAAAAAAGTGTGAGTTCACAAGCAGGGCCTCAGCACCATCAACCTGGGGAATTGTTGTATGAAGTGCCCACCATGCATCCATGGAAGCAACCTCATCGATGGTGGCAGTGTCAAACCTCCACGCTCGTGTCACCGGATCATCATGGACATCATTATACTGTGCAAACATGGTCTGGTCCTTATCAAGACGCCCCAAAGCTGTTCGAGCAACCGTGTCAAACGGAGTGTCATGGGGATGAACCCAAGACTTTGGGTTGCTGAAAAAAGTTGTTTCCCGATAGTCCACACCCAGTTCTTCCACTGACTCGAGATCCAATATAGACCATAGAAAATGAATACCCCGCTCTGCTGGCACTGGTGGCAGAATCCAAATGCGACCAGTTCGGCGTGCCAGTGCCACTACTGTGGCCACTGCCCAAAACAGGTTTTCGAAAAATCCGTTTATTCCAGCTTCGCCCGCATCAAACTCCCAATTAATGACAGTGGAATATCCATTCAAGATGTGTCCATCCATCATCAAGTATCTCCGGGCTCTACCTTGGCGATGATAGTATCCCGCTGCGGTTCCTGCCTGGATGGCACCCGGTGGTCCCTCGAATCCATACCAGGCTCCCATTTCTTTGGCCAGAATTTTCTTGCCGTGTGGGCTTTTGAGTGGAGCATCTCGTAGTGGATGAATGGCGATGGCCATTTGGGATGTGTATGGCCGTTCCGCAGCCGCAATTTCATGAGAACTGAAAAATCCATGCTTGACGGGATGCTGAAACTTGGGAATGTAATCTGGTGGGGCCGGTTTCCAATTTTTGCTATAGCCAAACTTTTCGCCCATGTTGACCATGTGCAAGATCTGTGCCATGACGAATTGATCATGGGTGTCAGGGCAGTCTTGGGCCAGCTGAATGGCCACTTTAAAGTATTCCTTGGTGGCGGCATTGGCATGGACCAGGTAAACTCCAATATTGACACACTTGGGACAGTACTGATGAGAGGAAAACAAAATATCGTCATGGAATAGTGCCAGTATGGGCATGGGTGACTGAATGAACCACACATCCATTTCGTAAAAGAAAAGTCTTGGTCCATTTCCACCAGTGCCAGGGATACTTCAAATTTGGTGTTGGCAACCGAGTGTTTGAGGTCCTCTTGTTCTGTATCAACAGTTTTTGGAGCAACCGCACTGGTCCATGCCACAACTGGGTAATTGTAGCGACATGCCATTTCCAAGGTTTCATGATCAATGGCCACCATGAAGAGGGCGCCTGGTAATCCCACAATGTTGTCATTCATTTGGAAGAAGTCGTGCATCATGTCCTTGGCATACTTGTAGTCGGATATGGTAAACGCTAACAGATTCAGGTCATTTTTGCTGGCATCCAGTTGTTTTTTGGCCCCATGAATCAACGAGTGTATTTGCTCTTTCCACGACAGATCCTGCGCCGACTGGAGGCATTTCTGAAGCTCCGACTCGGAGACTGGTTCCTTGTAGGTGTATTCCACGGTCCGTGGTGGTGGAAAGGATAGTGTTGTACTGATATTGGCCAGTTCCGGTTGCCATTCCACTGGGACTTTGTTCATTTGTTCCCACTTAAACAAATGTTCATGGTCGTACTTCCTGGTGTAGGGAAATGGATATGCTTCGTACACACCAGACTTTTGCCGGTTAGTGACACAGTGAAAGTCCCAGATGGAACAATCCACGGCAATGCGCCAGTCCGGGAGTTTCTTATTTACTAGTTTTCCACTACCACTGTCACCCTGGACTGTTTGTTGTAGTGGAGATGAGAAAGCATCATTAGTATTATGATTAGATTCGTGTTTTCCACTACCACCGTCACTCTGGAATGTTTGTTGTAGTGGAGATGAGGAAGCATCATTAGTCTTATGATTAGATTCGTGATGGTGATTTTGGTGGTCTTGCTGCAGATTTTTCAAGTTTGTCTGCTGCATGAAGATGACCACCATAGCCAAGCCCAGCAAGAGCATCAGACCATAGAACGCTTTCTTGTCATGACCAACTCCATTGCTTCGACTGCTGCCATTGCTGCCATTGCTGCCAACAGTATTGGGGTGTTGAGAGGTTACCATGGTTGAAGAGAATGTACAAGACTTTGCTTCTTGCTGCAGTACCTTGCTTCAAAGTGATCATACTTGAGGGTGAGTAAACCATGATGATCGGCCACGGCCAAGCAGTTTTCAAAAATTTGATGTCATATCCGCCTCAGCAGTAGAGCCATTTTGAAGGAAAAGAGACCCTTTTGAAAATAGCAAGAAATCTTTTACTATGCCGAGTTGGGCCTTATAGTCTACTTCTGCAATTCTCTTTTTTTTAATGGAATTTTAACTTTATTTTCCTTCTTTAGTTAGGGAGTGGTGGATGTGTGTTACAGCCACAGGAGTTTGGAGCTTCTGAAAAGACCCGAATATGTATGATACGTGCAGTGTCCAGCTAGAATCTGATCATTCCCTTTGCCTTCGCTGTACCGGTACTGGTACCGTGATGTACCGGTCCTCTCTGGCTCACATTTTCCCTTCATTTTTTCTCCAAGTTGAATGAAGACCACCTCACAACCACAAATGGCGCTCGAGTCCCACAGAGCTCAAGAGCATGTAGCCTAGAACAGTGTTGAACATTGTGATGCCTCTAGTATGTTCTGGGCTAGGCACCACGTTACCCAGTACATGTGCTGTTGTCAAATCTTCCGCAATGGGTTCGTCTCAACTTTCTCACTTTTCCTCGCTTGGAAGTTCTAGGTAGACCAAATCATCAGGTAAGCATTCAACGTCGGCAAGATGGGAAAGAGGCAGGGTTTACCAGCTCTTTCGGTTGCTTTGGCAGTTCTTGCTCTCTTCGCTGCCACTCTCTACCAGTCATTGAAGACCTATTCTGGAATCAACGATGCCGAGGCAATCCGTGCCAAGTATGGTCCCTGGGCGGTGGTTCTCGGCGCATCAGAGGGTCTAGGAGCGGCCTGGGCCGAAGTACTCTGTGACAGTGGTGTCAATGTGATGATTGCTTGGAGACGACAGGCAGCATTGGAGCAACGAGCCCAAGAAATGAGCACTGCCTGTCAAGTCCAACCCGTTGTCATGGACATAAACAATGGAGAACAAGTGAGCAAACGTCTAACTGATCTCTTGAAGAGCCAAGATGTTGGGCTGGTGGTTTACAACGCGGGCAGCCACGTTTTAGGTCCTTTGTTGACATCCCTCTCGAGCAGCATCTGAAGACCGTTCACATCAATGTCGAAAGCGTGGCCAGGGTGGCTCATGCGTTTGGCAATGCTTCCAAGGGACGCAAGCTTCAGGCTTTGTTTTGATGGCGTCCACCCTGGGTGATCACGGTGTGGGCTATGTGGCAAATTGCGCAGCCACAAAGTCTACATCACCATTTTGGCCCACGGACTCGCCAATGAGCTTTCCAATTCTATGGACGCTCTGGCCTGCAATGCTGGCTGCATCAGTACTCCCACCATGTTTCGCAACAATCCCGAGGCAGCTGATCCAGACAGCCCCATCCGATTCATGATGCAGTCACCTCTCGAGGTTGCCAGCGAATGCCTTCAAGCCTTGGGGCGGACTTACAGCGTCGCCACATGTCCTCTTCAAAAGTTGCTGCAGCTCATCAATCGTCTCTCTCCCAGACAGATTCTCATTGACCAAATGAGTGCGGAGTTTCAAAAGCAGAGCGTCCAGCAAGAAAAGCATTGATGGCGAAAGCAGAAGAGATTGAAACTAAATTGGTCTTATCTCGCAAATCAACCCAAGCGAAATTCAAATGTACTAGTACCTCAGTTGTGTTGCTGTCACCTGTACCGTATCATTATCTTCGTCGCTCTTATCGACAATCATTTTGATGAGCGTGGTTGAGAACATCCTTTGCTGGCAGCCATCGTGCAAGTAGTCTGGAATCTCATTGACAGCCATTTCCATGGGCATGCATCAAAGCGATTCCAAGGTTCCATTGATTGCAGCACCAGTGCATGTAGATGTGGATGCCTGACAGCCTACAATGTCATGAGAGTTTCCAAATGCCCTTTGTTGACCGCCATGTGCAAGTCAAGGAATTCCAGGGACAGCCACTTTCATGGGCATTCTTCAATGCCAATGCCACCCTTTCGCAGCAATGACACACATCCGGTGGTTCCAGGGACAACGGGCATACCTAAGAGTTCCCACGTGTCCGATCGTGGCAGCCATAGTGCAAAAGCAAGATTTCCTGCCATGGCCATCCATTTTCATATGGGCATACTTCAACATTTCCAAGTTTCCAGTAGTTGTAGGCAGCACTAGTACATGTTCTTGCATCCCATGGGCACAAACCATTTTAGAGTTTCCAGACGAGTGCACTATCAGCATCCCAGGCGGAAGCTCATTGTTTCAGTGGGGACACGGACGCTAGATTGGCCTCAGTCGCCAATGTATCCATGCATGGAGTTTGCCTAAAGGGTGGAACCCAATTGGAGATGAGTTTTACTGTGGCTAGATAAGAAGCATCATAACGGTAGGATTGGTCCACAATCGAGTCAACTACTAGGTTAGATTACCCTAATCCCTTCTCAATCAATCACATGCCACTGTCTTAAGAAGCAATTGCAATGCATGACTGGGCATGGTTGCACTGCGCTGGGCACGGTTGAACTGCCTCATTACGGCCCATTGGACCACACTCCTCTTTGCACGACCATAAGATTGCATTGTCTTCACTTGGTCTGTCGAGCACCACGAGACCGAACGGAACTGTTCAAACTCGATTTTCTATGGCTGCTGGAGTTGCCATTGGCAGTAGCAGCGGTGCTTTTGTGACTACTACTGCCGCCGCCTGCACCATCCAAAAGACTCTCCTTGGCAGCCTCTTGCCCCGATTTGCTCCCTCGTCGTACACTACGAGATCTGGAACGAGCTGGTAGAGTGTTGGTTCGCAAAGTGCGAGCGGATTTGGCCCGTGCGCTTGTCCCCTCCGCCGCGCTAGCGCCACCCAAGGAATGTCGACGACCTCGAGCCGCCGCTGCAGCCGCACGTCGACCGTGCGACGATACAGACATGTTGCTGGAATCGTTCGGCGCGAGTTCCTTGATTCGGTCCGTTTTACTCCGGCTGCTGTGAAAGGATGCATTCAGTCGTCTTCGGCTGTTCGTACTGTTGTTGTTGTTTTGGCTGCTCTTTGACCTCGAACTATCATTCAGAGGGCTCCTGGCGGGATCGCTGACTTTCATAGAGTTGTTCATTTTACTGGCCAGTGCCGCAACGCCCGATCGGGCAACATTACTTGCACTTCCACGCCGTGCTCGATTGAGTCTAGCGCCGACACCCGACGCCCGAACGGTTCTTCTGCCGGCAACCGTATTCCTGCGTTTGCTGCTGCTATCCAGTTTGCCACTGCCATCCGTTTTGCCACTGCTGTCTAGTTTGCCACTGCTGTCGAGTGCTTCATCAGCATTTGCTTTCGGTTGTTGCTGTTCATTCGAGACGGTCGAATCATCATTACTGGAAGAGGACGATTCATCGCCACCACTGGACGCCGAGACACTAATGACGGAATAATCGGTCGATTGTTGTGATTTGCCATGTTTCTTGGCTGCCTTTTTCTCCTTTTTCTTGGCTTTCTTTTCCTTTTTGAGTTCCTTCTTTTTGGCTTTTTCCGCTTCTTTGGCAGCCTTTTCTGCTTCTTTCTTGGCCTTTTTGGCTGCCTTTTTCTCGGCTTTGGCTTTTTCTTTTTCGGCCTTGGTTTGTTCCTTGTCAGGATCGGCTTCTTTACTGTCCGTGTCCTTTTTCCCTCCAAACAAGGACATGCGTCGTTTGGACCGTTTGGATGAGTGTTTACTGTCTTCTGTTTTAACACTGGCATCGGGATCGGTTCCACCAAACGCAGAAAGAGCGCGACTGAGTGCATCATCATCGACTCCCAAACTACTATTGGACACACTCAACATTCCTCCCGACGAGGATGCCACCGAACTGGCCATGGAAGAAGATCCACTCATTTTCATTCTCTTTTTGATTTCTTTCTTTGCTTTCTTGGCTTCCTTTTTCTCTTGTTTTTTGGCTTTCTTGGCTTCCTTTTTTTCTTTCTTGAGTTGTTTCTTGGCTTCCTTTTTTGCTTTTTTTGCTTCCTTTTTGAGTTCCTTTTTACTCTTGTCATTATTATTATTGCCCGGCGCATTGGAAAAGTTGGCGTGGAGCTTGACATCGAGTTGTCCGTATTTACTACGCGTTGGAGGCGCTGGCATGGAACTGTCTTTGGTGAGTGCGGATATTTGGGAGAAATTGTCGTCGTCGTCATCATCGCCTTCACCATAGTTGCGGACGGAATAGTTTCCACTGAGCAGATTGTGAATACTCATTTTTTCCTCGTCGAGTTTGGACGATGGATGAAGTTGGAATTCATCCACATCTTGAATGCTGGCATCTCCGTCAAAGTTGCTTCGGCTGCTGGGTGCGAGCGGATCTTCTTCTTCCGTTTCATTTCCATCGTCTTGCTGGTTCTTCTTTTTATTACTGCGAGTCCCCAGTATGGATTGTCGCGACTCTCGTCGAGCTCGAATCCGGTCGGTGATAGTGCCTCGAGCACTGCGATTGCTGCGTTGCGATGAGACGGAACTGGATCGAATGGATCGATTGGAGGAATTGGCTCCTCCTCGTGTTCCTCCTAGCAGCGTATTTCTCCGTCTCCCTCGTGCTGTTGCTGTTCCATTGGTGGCATTACTGGCATTGCTCATGAGACTGCGATTGCTATTGCTGGCAAAACTTCGCGTACTGCCCGCCAGTGAATCGGCATCGCCGTCGGTTTTGGTGCGTCGGAGTGCTCTTGGTTTATTGTTGGGACTTCGCTTTGTCGTTCTGCCGTTGGTAGGAGGACTGCTTTTGCTAGTAGTAGAGTCTCGTTCGGGACTTTTACTGGGTGGTCGCAACGTTGCCGCGACACTTTTGCGAGCTCCTCGTCCTCGTCGTGCTGCATCGGATTCGTAGTCCCAAATGTCGGGTGCATCGTGCATGGATTTGCATCGTTTGGGTCTCCCTTTTCGTCTGATTCCACCACCAGCAGCAGCAGCAGATTTGTCCGCGGAAGCGGTTCGTAATGCTTTGAGTTTGGTGCGTGTCTTTGTCGTTTTGGTGCTGGGCTTGTTTTTCGCCGATTTTTTGGATTTGTTGTCACCACCACCACTGCTGTCACTGTCGTCCTCCTCGGAATCCGAAGAACTACTGTCATCATCATCGTCGTCGTCCGAATCCGAGTCGCTACTATCGGAATCATCCGTTTGTTGTTGTTTGGGTGGTGGCGCTCTATCTTCCAAATCTCCTCCTTCGGCTTCTAAAAATTCCATGCGTCGTCTCATTTCACGTTCTTCTTCGGTTTCATTGTCCAATTGTTGTCGTTTCTTTTGCAAGCGTTGTCGATACGCATTCTTTTTGGCTTGGCGTTCCGCTTTGAGTCGTTTGGCTTCTTCTTCTTCTTGTTTCGCTTGTTCTTCTTGTCGCGCCATGCGACTGTCAATGATACTCACGGACAGTAATCCACTACTGGATTCGTCAAAATTGACCAATTCCACAGTCGTCGCCATGGCCTTTTCGGCTTCTTTTTGGGCTTGCGCCATGGCGCGGTTCATTTCGTCAATTTGGGCTTGCAACGCAATGTCGTCGAGGGCGGGTGCGGCAATGCTGGGAGCTTTGGTGGCGGTCGCATCGAATCCCGATGTATGAGAGTGGCTCAGAGCGTACTTGTCACGCCGTTGTTCCATCTTGCGACGTCGTTCGTCGTCATCGCCCATTGTTGCACAGAAATTTATATATCAAGAAAAAATCAGCAACTGCTCTAGCTAGCTATTAATAGTCTAGTAGCAAGATAGATTGCCGCGCTCAACTAATAACTGGTGGATGGATGGATGGATTGAGCTAACGTAGCTGTATTGGAAGATGATGCTTAGACAAAGAGTGGGTCGGCTGTGTTCTGTTCTGTTGTGTTGTGCAGCATTGCGCGTTGGGCTTGGCTTATTCTGGATTGATGCTGGGACAAGAAGAACATGTGGCCGAGTTGTTTTTCGCCATCGATCTCGTCAAGGATTCGCAGCAATCGTGCAGTCTTTTTGCAATAAGCCGTTTCTGATGCACCTTCTCTTGGCTTCTAAAGAAGCTGGCAAAATATGCTTCCACTTCTCACAGCAATTGTCTCAGTAGGAAAGCTTGGATTTAACATGCATCAGTAAGATGACCAAGGAGTTTCAAAGCTTCCCTTTTTCTTTGGAAGCCTTCTTTGGAAGCGAAAGAAGAGTGGATCGTCGTCCACGACCCACAACATCCGACAATCATAATTCAATGAGCTTTCACAAGGGCCATGGGAGTTATGATATGCATATATTAGCATCATTGCCTTTGCGTGGCGGTTCCTAGGTGACCAAGCCTGGAGGCAATAGCGGTGGGGCCTTTTACTTGATGGATTGGCGTCCAGTCATCCGACACAAAAGGCTATGGACATCTCGGGCAATATTACTGTATTCTATTGGCTTTGGGAGTGTTGCTCTTGCGGCTCGAAAGTTTACCAAGCCGCACGACTATAGGGAGTGCCTTACAACAACGTGGCATGCTTCTAGCTAGATTACTTGATTGGGAAGTCTTGTCAGGGTCAGCAAAATGAAGCCTTACAGTTAGGAATTAGCTCACTTACTCCAACTGGCTACCACTGCTTATGCTAATTAGCTAGCTATCACTTAACTCAAAAGTAGCCGGGAGGAACATAGAGTTGTGGCCCAGCTTCGCGTGCTGAATTGAGCATGTTGCGTCCACCACGAGGAAGGATGGAGGCCAAGTTCCTTTCATAGATTTGATCATAGTTGCCCACTGCAAAAACGGAATCTTGAAACATTCTGCTGTAGTCGAAACCAAACAAATTCACATCTGGCATATCTCTAGAGTTTGCATCGGTCACTCCTCTCTCTTCGGCATACCAGGTCGAAGCAACAGTCCAGAAAACAAAGGACGAGAATTGTGGATCATCTTGTCTTGTCACTAGGCAAAGGTTGTCATCAAAAGTGGCACTAGGAAGGAGAAGAACAACTGGAATGTCAGATGTGCCTATGCCACAACACCAATCCCCTTCGTCTCATGATGAACTTACTTGCTGTTGCGGATATCAACATGCACAGGCTTGTAGAAGTAGGGCGAAGTGAAGGAATAACCCACTCCAGTTCCGGGTTCATGATAGTCATTCTGGATGTTCCATGTAAACCCTGCCAAAACATCAACTTCCCCTGAATCCAACATTTGGTATCCCTGGGCTTCATTCTCCACATCTATAAATAGAACAGCATCAGCTGTGCCTTGTGAAAGACCAGCAGCCAAGGCTGCACACATGTCAATATCGAACCCGGTGAATGGAAGTCCCTTCTCACTGTTGTGAACTGCAAATCCTGGCCTGTTCAACCTTACACCACAACGTAGCTTTCCGTCTGGTCTGTCCCGGATCTCCCCCAGTGTCCCACCTGCCACCGGGCCAGGCCCTTCATTCTGGATGAAACCGAGTGGAAGAGTGAAAAGCAGTCCCGTGCTTCCGTTGTTCAGGAAATTCATGCCTTCTCTGGTTTTGACAATTGGCACCCATCCAAGTTCAAAGACATCCCCAAAGTTGGACACTTCCTTGACAGCACGCTCCAGTTCCTCACCCAACACATCTGCGCCCAACATTTCAGCTGCATTGGAGCGTGTAATGTTATTTTGCTCCGCTGCAAACAAGCCCATCAGAATGATGTTGACAAAATCTGACCACTCGGGATCACCATCCAGGGTTGCCATTGTTGCTGGCTCCTTGAAAAATGGCTTGGTACCACGATAGTACTCTCCCCGATATCCAAAGAGACCCAACAGAAACTCTGTGAGGCCAGTGCCTTCAACAGCAAACACATTGCAATCTCCTCTCTTGAAGCCATTGAGAATTTCTGTAACATTGTCCTCTTTCGCAATATAGCTTTCTGGAATGCTCTCGGCCACAATGTCCGTCCACTCGGAATCTTGATTCATGCAAATCCTGAGATCGCTGCAGTTGCCACGAGTGTTGTAGTTGTCCTCTGTGCACTGCACATAATGCTCGAGACCACCCCAGAAAATACCAATGTAGCCAAAAGGGACAGAGAAAGTGAACCCTTCTTCAATCTTTCCTTTCTCTGTCTCATAGATATCTGCTTGCATGGAGGTTTCCACATGGGATACCAGGACATCAATGCTTCTGTTGGCCAGTGCTTCAAAATTGATATCCTGGGTTACCTCTACCACTCGATAGGCACTGCCATTGCCCAGTACAGCCGCCGCGAGAGCACGGCAGAGAGCTATATCAATTTGATCTTCTTGCTCTTGAAAGACACCACCCATTACGGCGAGAATTTTGGCTTCATCCCAGATTCCACAGATCACTTCTCCCCGTTCTTGGATCCGTTCCAAAGTAGGCAGCGGTGTTGCTGTGGGACTTGGGGTGGAATTCGTAGGACTGGTGGAGGAAAATTGTTCTTCACCATCACCACCACCAGAACCAAGGGTAACAGCCACGATCACCACAACGACAGCAATCAAAACCAGGCAGCCCCCCAGAAAGAGAAGTTGTCGTTTCGAAAATCCAAAGTACAGTTGCTCTGCCTCCACCACTTTGGCAAGCTCTGGGCTGGGCTCCTGTTGGGGAGTGACAGGGTCATCCGGAACAAGAGTAGCTTCAATCAGAAACTCGCTCTTGGATGGACGGTGGAATCTTGCCGACTCAAGGTCCATTGTTGTGGGGTTGTCACCCGCGTTAGCTTCGTTCTCCGGCATGTCTACAAATTCGGTGGTGCTCATCAGTGTTCCAGCACTGGACTTGTTATCAAACAAAATTTCACTCTTGGATGGACGGTGGTCCGGTGCTCCCTCGGGGTCCATCATTGCTGTGGGGTCGTCAACCACGTCAGCCGCATTCTCCGGCATGGCTACAAACTCCGTTTTGCTCATCAGTGTTCCAGCACTGGACTTGTTATGGCTGGTTTCCGTTGTAGAAACTGTGGAATATGGCCGATCCTCTTCTTGACCTTTGTTACTCGTAAGAGCGACATCGTTTCGCCGTCGAAGTCCATGTTTGGATGCGATGGATCGGTTGCTTGCCGCTGAAAAATCGGTAGAAGCATGGCCTTCTCGACCTTCTTGTTGGCCGTCGTCGCTCCCAGTATTCGCCCGTCGGAGTCCGCGTTTGGAATTGCTGGGTCTGCCTCCAGTGGAGGAAACGGCTCCAGGTACGGTTGCGTTGCCCGTCTTTTTCGACGAGGGGGAGGAGGACCCTCGCTTTGCTTCCCAATCTGCGCGAGCCTGTGGATTTTCGCTAAGTCCAGCTTCCACAGGTCTCTCCTTGCTGCTGCCGTCCTTCGTGCCCTTGGATTCTACTGTCGCTCTGCCCATGGTTAGATGGTGATGCACTATAAAATAAATTTGATCGGACCTCCCTTTGCTGCAACCTTCTTCTATGCACCGAACAGATAGCCTTACGCGAATGGCAGAAAAATGGCTGGCATGGAAAAGGACAGGATTTGCCCCTTCAAGCACAAAGAAGGCCGCGCGATTGATTGATCTTTCTTCCATTCCGGTAATTGAGGTAATAATTGTGCTGCAGCAATAGTAAATGTTTAAACACAACTTTCTTTGTTTTACCGCATCTACTGATCCAATTTCTGACTTCAAAGCAGTCTTGAGGTTCGGAACTTTGGAGGTCAGCTGAAGAACGTATCTACCGGTACGGATGCACTGTTTGGTCGCTCATGGCTCCAAAGGGAACAAGGGAACTGTACGGCACCAGTGAACGGTGGTCACTCAAAGCCACAATCTATGGTACTGGTACCGCTTCAATTGACCGTGGTTGTAATGCGTGGATGACACCGTGGAAACCACTTTGCTACAGTTTGTTATCTGATAGGTTGCTTGCATGTACAGCCGCAGGCACAACTGGATTCAACTTATACAGATGAAGGACGTAAGTAGAGTATTGAATTGTTCGCTACTCGTACGGTACGAAGTAAAACTCCCTCCAAGCTCGAGAGAAGAGAAGGCGAAATTCGGGACAAATACCTCGGATCCTCAGGGGGTCCAAACTGGAGACCAATGAGACGGCCAAGTGCTTGACTTTTTGGGATACGCACCCCTGTGCCGTGCATGTCGGGTAGTCCCCGAAAGCAAGCAGTTGGAGACTTGGAGACTCGACCACAGCGCGCACGGCACCGTACAGCAGTATCAGCACACTACAGCACAGAACGAAGTGAATGGCAGTTGCAAGAACTATTTTATTGCGCCACTGCACTGGCGCTACGACAACACAGTGTTTCCCACAAGGATGGCTTTGGTGTTGTTGGTTTGGCCACAATCTGCGATGGACGGGGTGGAACTGGATCGTCATCATCCAGATCGTCCAGCTTTGGAACCGGTTTTGTTTTGGAAACTTCCTTCTTGTTGGCGTCCAGGACGGGTCCCATGATGACATTCACGGGACCTTGGACGCCGACTTCATTCTTGGCGGATTCTTTCTCTTCGGCCGGTGGTGGCTCCTTTTTGACCACCTCCTTGGCCTTGGCCTGTTCTTGCTCTGTTGTATCCGCCGCAGGGGTAGAAGAAGTGTCTACAGCTGGAGGCACGGATGCTTTGGTGTCTGCCACTGGCGTGGGTGGTGCATCCTTGACTTCCGACGAAATGGGTTGTGGGACATGAAACGAGACGCTTTCATCATCATCTGAATCCGGAATCAAGGGTGAACTGGTGTGTTCCGTGGTCAACATGGACGAGGATGCCTTTGTGTGGGACGTCACATGGGCCGCATGTGCCGAAAAGGGACTGATCGTCATGCTGCGGGCGAGTTCCCCCGATCGACACCGCTCACCGTCACTGGAATAATCCGACAACAATGACCCTTCCATACTATCCGAAAACGATCCACTGGGTCCTCCTTTTTCGGTATCCGTGGTTCCTCCTCCTTCGTTGTCTCTGCTACCAAAATAGGCATGAATCATGGTATCGTGATGCGACGATCCCGTATTACTGGCTCGTAGATTGCCACTGGCTCGTAGATTGCTGGATTTGTTGCGAAGGCTGGTTCGTTTATTGGTACTACTAGTACTTCCCGCCGAGACTCGTCCGGACGCCCCCGTCGATGTGGAAATGATGGTCGATGCTTCGGATTTGGAAAATTCGTCCGCACTGCGCCCTTGCGACTCTTTGGCAATATGTCCCGACAACAACATGCCTTCCATGGATCGAATGCTATCGTCTTCTTCCAATGATGATGTTACTTTTTCGCCTCCTGATTTTTGTTGCTGTTGTGATTCCTTTCGTTTGAGGGGTTTCTTTTTCCGATCTTTGGAACTGGCTCGTTTGTTGTTCACTCCTTTCTTATTATTGCTAGTATTGCGCGTCGTAGTGCCAAGAGTGGAACTCATTTGCAATTTGGAAATGGATTCGTGATGCGACTTGGCCTTGTGGGGCATTCCTGTAGAGCCCCGTCGGACATGCAACAGTGGCATACTTTGTACGGTCATGGCATTGCTGGTGGCCGATGTATCATTCATCAACATATTGCCAGCGCCACTGACACTGAGACTCATTTTGCTATTTCCAGTGGGCGATGTTTCCGATGCATGGAGACGTCGTCGTCGAATATTGTTGTTTCGACTTGTACTGGTAGTATTGTTTGTGTTGTTGGTGGTGACACCTGCCAAGTGATTGAGACTTTGCGATCGCGGTTGTTTCTTTTTGGGAGGTCTTCTCGTTTTGCTGGGTATTCTGGTTTGCAATCGAGGACCATCGTCGCCGTAACTTTTGGTCCTTCGAATGGGTTTATTGTTGTTGGCTTTTGTGGTTGTAGGATCTGTTTTGGTGTTGGGGAGGGCCGGAGTTGTATCGTGACTTTTGATTCGTCGTGGTTTTGGCTTTTTGGTGGCAGTGGTGGTGGGTTTGGAAACCGTGTTATCAATGGTCTTTCGACGCTGCTGCAATTTTTTGGTCGTCGTTGTACTAGTAGTAGTCCTGGTGACATCCAAGCTGACGGTGGTTTGCAGTGTCGACACGGACATGTTGTTTCCCTTGGTGAGAGCATCCATCATGGCTCGATTCTTATGGTTCTTTTTTGTAGTGTTGTTATTGTTGGGTGGTAAAAGAGCGGGTGTGTGTTTGGCCAGATCCAAAGAAGCCTCTTTTTCAACGGAGGTTGCAGATTGTGGTTCTTGCCCGAGTAGCATGTTTTGACGACTGATATCAAAGAGCGATTCCATGGCAATCGAGTCATCGTCATCAAGTTGATTGCGTGTGTAAGTGTCTTCTCCAAAGGAATGAGCGGGAAGATCCTCCTCATTATTTGCTTTTTTCTTGGAAGAGACACGCGGTGCCTTTTTGCCTGTGCTAGTCGAATCCCCCGACTTTTTCTTGACGACGCGGCTTTTTCGTTTTGACTTTTGTGTTGTTTCAACGTCTTGTGGTTCGTCATTTCGAGTCCGACTGGGACTGCGACTTTTGGGTCGTTGTTCTTCTTGACTTTCTACAGGAGGTTTCTTTTTCCGTCGAGCGGCTCGTCGTGCCGTGGCATGCTCATTGTCCGTCTCGCCTTCGGTATTGGAGTAGGCGGAAAAGTCTTCCATGGTAGAACCGGCATTGATGGTGCTCGTATGCCACCATTCGTAGTCGGACGGTTTGTTTTCGCCTTTCTTTTTACTGGATGCTCTCTTCTTGACTCGTTTGACCGTCTGTTTACTAGTGGCTCCTTTGGAGCTCGTCTTGGTCGTCTTGTTGTTGGGCGCATCCTCTCCGTCTTCCGTTCCTGCTTTTGTCAGGCCGCTTCCTTGTTTGGCGCGAACCTTTTTTCGTTTGACTTTTTTCTTGGAATGTTTGACCGGATGACTCGCTAGTAACTTGGACGACGAGGCGGCTGCCACGGACGCTTCCAACGATTCCGTCGCGGATTCACTGAAATAATCCGAGCCATCTCCTTGTTCATGACTGGCGGCGGTAAAGTCGTCTCCGTCCGTGTAAGCGGACGATCCCGACGCATCCATGCCACTGGTTCCACCGTCCTCGGAAAAGGAATTGTTGGAGAGATCCGCTTCTAAAAAACCAGACCGTCGATTGTTGCCACCACTGTGGACGGCCAAAATGGCCTTGCCGAACCGAGCATCGCTGTCATGAAGACTGCTCGTGCTGTTGTGGCTGGTGGCGGATTCGGAAAATAATTGTAATGACGGATCCATTAGTTCAGAGGATTGCAAACATGTCATGCTTTGCTAGTCAACTATGTATGTATGGGTTCAACTATTGTACCTATTGTACACAACAAAGAGCAAGTGGAATTGAATTGAATTGAATGAGCAAGCAACGGTTGGGCCGCAGCATTTGGCCATTGCCCTCGATCAGTTGTGCTCGAGCAATAGAAAGCAGCAATCAAACCATCGAGCAGTTGCCAAAAGTATGTCACGGGAAAGCAACCATTGACGCCTCTGCCGAATGACACATCAACAAATGACTGTCACTTATTCTTCTTGAACTCAAGGGATTTAATGAATGCATGAAACATTTACGACCTTACCAAGATGCAAGGGGAACAGAGGGGCAGTGACAAATATACAAAAGCTTTTTAAAAGGGTTGGGGTTATGCAATTTGAGGTTCACCTTTTTGGCTCGAGAGAACGACCGAAGCTGACGCAAAAGATGCATGGCGGCTGGTTGCAGCCAGTGGCCGCAGCAACGCCACAATGAAGCAAGGTCCATGCCAGTACCTTCATTATTTTCTCGTGTACCATGGTTGCCTCTCAACACCCCAATACTGCTGCTGGAAGCAATAGCAGCAGTCGGAACAAAGGAGTTGGTCATGACAAGAAAGCGTTCTATGGTCTGCTGCTCTTGCTGGGCTTGGCCATGGTGGTCATCTTTATGCAGCAGACTAACCTGAGAAATCTGCAGCAAAACTACCAAAATCACCATCAGGAATCTACTAGTCATAATACTAATGATGCTTCCTCATCTGCGCTACAACGATCAGTCCAGAATGACACCAGTAGTGGAAAAATAGTAAAGAAGAAGAAACTCCCCGACTGGCGTATTGCCATGGATTGTTCCATCTGGGACTTTCACTGTGTCACTACCCAGCAAAAGTCCGGTGTGTACGAAGCGTATCCATTTCCCTACACCAGGAAGTACAACTACGAACATTTGTTTAAGTGGGAACAAATGGACAAAATCCCTGTGGAATGGCAGCAGGAACTGGCCAATATCAATACAACACTCTCATTTCCACCACCACGGACCGTGGAATACACCTACAAGGAACAGGTCTCCGAGTCGGAGCTGCAAAAATGCCTCCAGTCGGCACAGGATCTGTCTTGGAAAGAGCAAATACACTCGTTGATTCATGGGGCCAAAAAACAACTGGATGCCAGCAAAAATGATCTGAATCTGTTGGCGTTTACCATATCTGACTACAAGTATGCCAAGGACATGATGCACGGCTTCTTCCAAATGAATGACAACATTGTGGGATTACCAGGTGCCCTCTTCATGGTGGCCATTGATCACGAAACCTTGGAAATGGCATGTCGCTACAATTACCCCGTCGTGGCATGGACCAGTGCTGTTCCTCGAAAAACTATTGATACAGAACAAGAGGATCTCAAACACTCGGTTGCCAACACCAAATTCGAAGTATCCTCGGCACTGGTGGAAATGGACCAAGACTTTTTCTTTTACGAAATGGATGTGTGGTTCCTTCAGTCACCCATGCCCATACTGGCGCTATTCCATGACGATATTTTGTTTTCCTCTCATCAGTACTGTCCCAAGTGTGTCAATATTGGAGTTTACCTGGTCCATGCCAATGCTGCCACCAAGGAATACTTCAAAGTGGCCATTCAGCTGGCCCAAGAATGCCCGGACACCCATGATCAATTCGTCATGGCACAGATCTTGCACATGGTCAACATGGGCGAAAAGTTTGGCTATAGCAATCAATGGAAACCGGCCCCGCCAGATTACATTCCCAAGTTTGAACATCCCGTCAAGCATGGATTTTTCAGTTCTCATGAAATTGCGGCTGCGGAACGGCCATACACATCCCAAATGGCCATCGCCATTCATCCACTACGAGATGCTCCACTCAAAAGCCCACACGGCAAGAAAATTCTGGCCAAAGAAATGGGAGCCTGGTATGGATTCGAGGGACCACCGGGTGCCATCCAGGCAGGAACCGCAGCGGGATACTATCATCGCCAAGGTAGAGCCAGGAGATACTTAATGATGGATGGGCACATTTTGAATGGATATTCCACTGTCATGAATTGGGAGTTTGATGCGAGTGACGGTGGCATATTCGGGTTTTTCGAAAACCTGTTTTGGACAGTGGCCGCACTAGTGGCACTGGCACGCCGAACTGGTCGCATTTGGATTCTGCCACCCGTGCCAGCAGAGCGGGGTATTCATTTTCTATGGTCTATATTGGATCTCGAATCAGTGGAAGAACTGGGTGTGGACTATCGGGAAACAACTTTTTTCAGCAACCCAAAGTCTTGGGTTCATCCCCATGACACTCCCTTTGACACGGTTGCTCGAACAGCTTTGGGGCGTCTTGATACGGACCAGACCATGTTTGCACAGTATAATGATGTCCATGATGATCCTGTGACACGAGCGTGGAGGTTTGACACCGCCACCATCGATGAGGTTGCTTCCATTGATGCATGGTGGGCACTTCATACAACAATTCCCCAGGTTGATGGTGCTGAGGCCCTGCTTGTGAACACACACTTTTTGAATGTGGGCTATCATCGAAGAATTGAGAAGAAACTACAAAGAAATGGGTTGGACAGTATGAAACCTCATTCGGCTACAGGGCGAGGCAGAGCTGAATATGACATTGCAGGAGTCTTCTCCAAACTTCGGTGGTGCAAGGACAAAGATTTCCGTGGGAGAATTATAGGTAATTTCCAAGCCAGCGATGATTGCTATGGGAGAGGAGAACCCATGGAGTGGCTTGCCAGACTATAAGTGTACAGTAGGGAGTAGAACACTGTCACTTCGAGCATCACTATTGTAACGGGCATTATAGGAGCCTGGACTAGGCAACACCTAAACGAAAAAGGCTTTTTACCACATATTTCGTTGTGCCGACAACACCCAGGCATTGACCTCTTTATTTTTGTTTGAAAAGTTGGCAAGAACGCGTAGCAAGGGGGTTTAGAGTAGGTGGATTGTCTACGACTGGCAATACGAGCATGCTTTTGGGATCCACCGATTATGTTGTTTCCACATTTGGATCGTACGTATTCACTTCAGGATTATGTGGCTCTTCTTCTCGCCTTTATGGCTGGCATGTGTGGAACTCGGAGTTCCGAAAGATGACAAGGCGGAATTGCTTGGCAAGGGGGGAAACAAGCCCAGCAATGGCAACAGTGTTGATTGTGACCAATACTTCTGGTACCTACCGTACGAAGTTCATCTCCTCGTTGCTCCTCGTTGGCCATCGACGCCGCATGCACCGATATGGTCAAGCTTGCCTGTGGATGACCGGATCCTTTCACGCAATTGCTGGCACGGTAATCTTTGATCCTGGTTGCATCTCTTTTGTTGGCTGCCCAGATTAGCTCGCAGCTTGCGGCAATCCGTTCGACGCACTTTGCGAGAACAGCCAAAGAAATGATTGTGTTCCGTGGAACCGTTGCTATTCATTCTAGTCAAATATGGCATGATCCTCACTTTGAACTGGATTGTACATGCATACTACTCAATTTCGTTTATGATTTTGTTTGTTTGTCTGTCATTATGATGCTGCTTGATAGTGAACATGATCGAGGAAAAGATAGTTGTAGAGTGGTGTCTTTCTCAACGCTCTCGCTGACGCTTCCTTCGTGCCTACCTACCAATAGCCAGCTAGCTATTAATATGTGTTGGGTTAAAACACTGTTGCTACTATTCTTATCAGGGTTATCTAGCTGATTCGGGCAAGCTGGGAAGAAAAAGTGATCTTCCAGCTTGGGTCAGGTTGAATCTGGATTTTGGAATGCCAGATCCCCTTAAATTCTTGCGAGGTCGCGGTCTTTCTACTTATCCGGGTACGCTAATGCTAATTTCTAAACCGGATAAATCTTGACCGTCCAACACACTCCTGCATGGATCCCTAATGGATACCACGGGTACGATTATTGCTAAGCTAAACGAATATTGTAAAGGTTGCAATGGCATTCCCACTGATCGGTGAGAAGCGTTGCGATGGAATGGGAACGAGACTGTCAACGATGTTGGTATCGATGATGTCGTTCGAAAATGGCACGTGGATGTCTGATGAGACTCGCCACTGCTGAAGGCTTGCGGCTGTTGGTGCCGTCACTTGATGTGCTTGTAGTTGGAACTGTAGATGGTTCGGACTGCATGGACACTTGATGTAGGGACTGAAGGTCCTATGGAAGAAAGGAAGTAAACAGTTGGAAGGTAGTAAACTCTTGATTGGAAGATTGGTTGTGGAGACTCCAAATGGATGTACTCTAACAGTAGACCTTGGTTGGACATGGTCTTGATGGCTGATGATGGATGATTGGAAAGGAATCGATCTTGATATTGGTGGATCTTGATGTTGGTTCCTGTGGCTGTCAATGGTAGTGGTACTTATCGTAAGCTGTTCTCGAGGTTGGGAGATAGCTGTTGTAGGATTGGTTGTCTGGAATGTAGTTGTAGGGCTTGAAGTTGCTGTATCTGCGGTAGGCTTGCATTGGATGGATTCGATGGATGCTATCGATCTGGGTTTGATGCTTGCTTGTTTGGTGTTTGGTGTGAGAGAGACGTTGGATACTGGATTGCAATTCGATGATTCGATGGTTGCTGTGGAGCTTTGAGGGGGTTCCTCATATGATGATCTTGTGATGATGATCTTGGTAATGGACATGGTGAACGCTTGGTGATGGAGCTTGTGATGTGGTTCCTCTTCTTGTTGCCTACTATTGTTTCAGGCGGCCTATGATTTCATGGCAGACTTGGTTGGTCTATTGGTCACTTGTTGTGTGACTGCTCCTTGCCTTGTGTAGCTTGATTCGACTTGTGTTGTCTTCTTGTGTCACCGTCTCATTGACGTAAGCCAAAACATCCGCTCTGTGGCGGCTCTGGGTCAGTCTGTAGCTTCTTTGAGCTTGCTCCGTTCTTGTGTAGACTTGATACCTTGTCTTCTCGTGATCTTGGTGGATCAACATTCACTGTTGTTCTTCTGCTGCTGATGCAGTTGCTGCTGTTGCAGTTGCCTGTACTGTAGATGCAATTCAAAGGATGGTTAGTACTGGTGTCTCTGGCTGCTGGCCATGCTGATGTTACCATTGATGCTGTTGGTGGTTGTGACATTGCCTGGATTGGCGGTAGACATGATGGTTTTGTCAATATTGATGAAGATTGCCTTTGTCATGTATGACATGGCTGTTGGGATTGTTGCCGTTGTTGATGGCATTGTTGCTTCTTTGGGTTCGATGTTTTGGATTTGGATTTGGATTTTGGGTACCTCCACACTCCTGTGCACTTGCTGTTGTAAAACTGGAAGGGCGTGTTTGTTGCTATTGATGGGATGATTGGTCGGAGATGTGTGGGATGCTTTGTTGCTGCCTGGAGACTGTTGGTTGCCTCAGGTATCTATGATTGATGGTTGGTGGAGGTGCTGTGTGTACCTGTAGGCACAAGACACACTCCAAAGGAGGAGGTGCAGTGGCTGGATTGCCACAATACACACTCTAAAAAGAAAAATATTCAATGCTGTCGGAGGCACTCCTGTGCTTCCTATAGCTTGCTTGTACTGTTTCGGGAAACTCTTGGCCAGGTGGCTAGCTCATGGCGCTAGCTAGCTAGCGTGGTGACGTGTGCTTGGATTCGCCGTAGGATCCTCTTGTTGCCGATGTACCGTGAACTGTGTGGCACTTCTGGTTGGAGAGATACCATTTTCGAAAAGATACATTTTTCTTCTTTGTGACGTTCGTCGGCTTGACACTCCTGTGTTGCCGTGGCCGTAACAGTAGTGGCCGTCATCGTCCGTCGTTCGAGCACTCCTGGCTGGCTACCTGGCGGAAATCGCACAATTCTTGATGGCTGCTCCGGTAGTGGATACAGCGCTGTTGCTGTTGCTCCGATATGCTTGCACTCTTCGGAGCCTGTTGCGCTAGTGTTCAAATCGCAACCTTGTATGACAGAGTCCTTGTTGCTCCTCTCGTCGTCGAGTAATCGACCTGGGAATTTGGCTTGTTGTGCGTCGGATTTGCCGTTGCACCTCTCCTCTATCGGCACTGTTTCGTGGCTCTCTTGTTGAGTCTTTGGAACTCCCACGACTGTACCTCTGTGGTGTTTCCTGTTGGAATTTGTTATCTTGTTCCTTTTTCCGTGGCAACACCTCTGTGGTGTCGCTCCTGTTGCACTTGAGTGAGCTTCATGTCTTCTTTGACTTGTTCTTCCGTGTCGACACTCTATTGCTGCTTCTGCTGCCGACACTCCTTGTTGTCGGCGCTTCGGTTCCTCTCACCGGTAGCGCTCTTCGTTTCCTTCTTCTGTGTCGGCACTGCTTCTTCTTGCCAATACTCCTGTGAGCTTGGTTTCTTCTTGGTTTCGCCCGCTCACTCCTGTGAGCTTGTTCTTCTCTTGTTGCCGGTCGCACTTGCTGCTCTGCTCGTCTTCACTCCTGTGAGCTACTCTGCTTTGTGCCGTAGTTCTTGTCCTGTTGCCTTGGCGGTCTACTGTACTGCTAGTTCCTTCGGATGTTAGGCTTGGAAATCGTGATCTTCTACTGTCGACACTCCTATTCCTCTGCAATTGCCTTGGCAGTTCGTATTCCTTCTTGTCTTGTCGCTCGTGTCTTGATTGCTTCTGGTCGTCTGCTTGTTCCACTCCTGCGAGCTTGGTTGATTGAACTCCCAAGCAAGCTCGGACTCTTTTGCTTCTTGTTTGTCTTCTCCTGCTGCTGCCGACACTCCTGTTGGCTTGGTAGCTCGGGCTCTCCGGTTGTCTTTGTAGCTAGTATCCACTCCTGCAAGCTTGGTTGTTCGAACTCTCACTTGGCTCGAACGCTCTTGTTGTTCTGCTTCTGCCGATGACACTCCTCCTTGCCGGTGCTTCTCTTGTTCCTTCCTTCTGTGGTTGTTCTTGTTGTATCGTTTTGTTGCTTCGTGCTTCCACTCCGGCGAGCTGAATTGCTCGGACTCTGTTTTGTCCTGCTTGTAGTTAGCTGCTATTCTCCTTGGCGGTGTATTCGCTTGCTCCTTCCTGGAACGTTAGGCTTGGCTGTAGGACTGGTCCTCTATCAGTGCTCACCCCTGTGAGCTGTCATCTGTCGGCTTGGCTGTCGGCTCGAAAATCGGTGCTTCGTGTGGCTTCGTGGATCTGGTGGTCAACACGAAAAAATGCCACTGTTTCGTCTTGAGGGTATTGGCAAACTTGCTCTGTTGGCCACTCGAAGGACTCTTCTTGCTGTAGATACTTGTATTGGTGTTAGATGCGACTACTGGTTGAGTTTCATAGGCTTAGGTAGCTTCCTCTTGGAGATTCAGCTGTCGGCGGATAGCTGGGAACTGGGACTCCCACTGCTTCAGCACCTGTAACGCGATTGGATGTATCTCAATGAATATTTGGAACTGGAGGCTGCCGCTAATGGCTAGATAAGCGGTTAGATGTCTTCTTTTGATCTCTGTATAGTCTTCTAGTGGTAGCGTTGATGCTTCAATCGGTAGATTCGATCTCGTATTCCAGCTTCTGCTCGTTCAATGGGCACCTGAATCACTCGATTGATCGATACTCACTCAATTTTCGTCGGATTGACTTGCTTCCAGCAGCAAACTGAACTGGCTAGCTATGCTCTCGATGCTGTTGTGCTTGGAATGGCTTGAATTGGTCGTTTCGTTGAGATGCACCCGTTCCGGCGACCCCTAGCTTGTGTGCGATTTTTCGTGGTGTTGAAACTTGACTGTCAGCTCTGTTGCTTTGCCTTTATAGTGAGGCTACAGCACACCTCTGTTCAATACCTGAATGGGGTTTGTTCTTGCTTGTTTTCTCAGTTCTTTTGCACTGTTACAATACCTGTTCTTGGGGAAACTCAATGCAAACAGGTTGGATTTTCTGTGACAGCCTGCTGTTGGCTGTTCT